GTTCGTCTTGCCGTAATCTACCTTTTCCCCTTATAAGAATCCGTTTTTGGCCATTTCTTGAGTTCGGGATTGAGGTCAAGTTGTGATTTTGATGGGGGCTTCCTTGGGGTTCTTGTTCACCGTGTTGTCCCCGACAAAACCTAGAAGTTTCGTCGGATTCGGAGCAGTTTCATTTTGGTGGGGATTTGAGATTTCATCTCAAATGGAGGTAGGGGCATTATAATTTCATATTTTTGTTGTCTTGCATGCTTTTGATGCTTATACAACTTGTATGCATGCTTTTGTTCATAATCTAGAATTTAATTTAATTATTTTCTATGATTAAGATTTAATTCTCATGATGATGCATAACTTAGAATTAAATTGTGGCATGCTAAAAAATTAGGCTTTGATATGTTTGTTAACATATATTAAATTCAAATTATTTGAATAAAAATTGCACTTTTTATTTAATAATTATCTTTGGTGAAAGTTTAATTCCCATGGACGTACCTTGCATGAAATTAACTTGTGATATGCTTTTAAATTAAGTCTTGGCATGTTCTTTAACATACTTTAATTTGAGAGCATTTGGATGAGTTTGAAAATCTAGAGATTTTAATTAAATGGGTTAATTAAAATCTATTTAGTGGTTCCATTGGCTTAATTAAGTTTTTAACTTGATATTATGATGTCTAGGACTTGTTTACTAGCATATATAAATTGGGACCATTTAGAGTTGTTTTAGAAATTAGAGATTTAATTATCGTGATTTAATTAAATTCTATCTCATTGTTTCATGGATTTTAATTATGTTTTAAAAGTTGTTTCTATATTCAAATCATGGACTTGAACTTATTGTATATTCATTTGGTTGTGTTTTGAGCATTGGATAACATTATTGTTATACTTATATTCATGAGAACATGTTTTCTTTATGGAATATATTGTTGCCCTGTGTAATATATTGTACACTTTGTAATTGACATTATATATGCCATTTTAGAATTGAAACTCTAAGGCATGGATTGTGTGGTTTTAACCTACTTGTGCACAGAAGGTGATTTTGTGCATTATATAAATTATGTATAAGTTGTGAACTTATTTGGTTTATTTTGGAGTCTTGGGACATTGTTATAGGTAATATGGCTAGAGTTTGGCTCTAGTGCGGGAGGTATGAGTTCTCCCCAATTGAGATAGTGTGCACTAGGGTGGTCTTTCCAGTGGTTTAATGTCCGGAATAACCATTGAGTTCTCGGCGAAAATTCGAGATTTGATATCCAAGTCTTCCACTATTTGATTTCGCATTCAATTCCAAGTTGACAATCATATTTAATTGTGACTTGTGGTTTTGGCTATTGGTGATTTGATGTTGTTAAGTACATTCATACTAAATTGTTATATTTAGTTGTTTTCACACTTTTAGATTTCAAGTTGATAACTTAGAGAATCTATGTCTTGATGTGTGGTATTAGAAATTCTAATTGTACTAAATTGTTATATTTAGTTGTTTTTGCATTTTAGATTTCAAGTTGATAACTTTGAGAATCTATATCTTGTTGCTTTGTATAACATACTTCTATGTTGTTTGAATTACATAGAGGATGTGATTTATGCTAGAAATGATCTAAGGTAGCTTAGGATGCTCCCTGAGTCTCACCTTTGACATAGACATTAGGCGGCATGAGGAATTGTTTCACGTTGTTGTAAAAATCTATAAAGAAATCGAGTCGATGCATGCTCATTCTCTATGAGTAAACTTGTTTACTCACCTCGAAGTTACTGGGGGTATTGATCAGGTACAGGATTCATGATTCGGAGATTTGCATGTGCCTCGGGTGGTTTGGAGATTAGAAGTTTCTTTTAAAATATTCTTGTTCACATGCAAGGGTTAACATGTTTAAGTTTTGCTTATAAAGATGTAATGCATAGCTAGGCTCGGTATGCCATTTTTGCCTTACAACATGTAAAGTGTACTTGGATACACTATTTGGAACGTATTTGATATTTATGACATGAGGCCAAGGGCCACAAATTTTAAAGTTCAAGTGTATGTATTTAAATTTCAAGTTTTACATTTGAAATGTATTTTTATTAACCTTGGAGGTTTGGCATGTAAAATCTTGTAAATATTAAGTAATGAGGCCATGAGCCATTGTAATACACTTTAATACTTAAAGTACACTTGTTGGCATGCTTACATAGCTTAAAATCTTGTTTTTGAACCAATTCCATGTTGGGGTTTGAGGCTTGGGTTAAGACTTAATGTTTTTGGCATATAATAGGTCATTCAGTAGTTTTCAAGGAGTTTCGGTCGTCTGAAACTCCACTTCGGTCGACCGATGGCCTTTGAGAACTTCAATGAACAGTAAATCACTCATTCTAGTAGCCATTTTTGTCATTTGTGCCCAGTTCGGTCGACCGATGGCCAAATTCAGTCTACCGAAACTTCCTCCACTTAAAAACATGTTTTCAGCACAATTTTTGTGAGTTTTGGTCGTCCGAAACTCTATTTCGGTCGACCGAAATAGCCTTTATTCAGCTGCCTCTTCAGTTTTGTTTCAACACTGTTGTTCCGACTTTAAATGGTTATATCTTCCTCATTTCTAATCCAAATGGGGTGATTCTTGAGCCTAAATTCATGAGTTTTGAGTCAGCTTTTCAATGGTACCAATTCCGTTCTCAGATTCAAATCACAATGGGAGTTATTCATGTTTTAGTGAGGTAGTGTCAGTTTTCGCATTAACCGGGAAGGGGCATTTTTATGGGATTCTTGGCCAATGTTCTTGGAACTTCTTGGAATGTTGTGAAATGACTAGATTAGGTTGTATTCACATTGTTTGACTTGTTTAGAGTCAATTCTCTCTTTTTATTTGTAAATTGACCATTTTACCCCTTGGTTAATAGATTTTGCCCGTTTCGATCTTTGTTTTCGCTTTTGCTTTCTTTGAGTTCCGTGACTTCATGGAAAGTCACATTGGTGTCTTGGGGATGATTTTTATCTCTATTGACTTTGGTTTCATCTTTCGCTTTCGCATTTTGGATTCGTTACCAGGTCAACTTTTTGGTCATCACTGATGCACTGGGTTGAAAAACTTGGGCCGTCACAATATAAGTCAAAATAAGACTTTGTATTTAATTTGTGTCATACCTTTTGAGTTGACAGACAACATCATTTTATATGATCGGTTGTAGTATTTAGATAGGGAACTAATTTCCCTTTACCTATTGAACACTAGAGCTATTCTCTGTCCACATTGTCTCATTCATTGTACCTCTTAGCTTTCCTGACTATTATACTCCTTATTGAATTGTTAGCCCCCATCAACCATGTTTGGTGTGAATAAATTTTGTTATTCACTTGAGCAAGAGCAAGAGATCAATAAATCTTTACTTTATACATACATATGAGAATTTTGTTACCAAAACAAAAATAACAATAAAGTGAAAATATTTTTTACCCTAAAAAAAAAAGAAAAACAATAAAGTGAAATCTATAAAGAAGCATAAATACATGATATTATTGGACCTTATAAAGGATATAGAATTGTAAAGTAGGGAAAGTTAGCCTATCAACCAAATGGGAATTGTTAGGCAGAATGTTAAACCATTGGTTTGTAGGCCAAAGATTCTTCACACGTAACATTTCTCACTTGTCTATTTTATATATTATCTTGGGTTATCTTGTTCGTAAACAGAATGTTAACCGGATAAGAAAAAGGAAAAACTAGATAAAAAGGTAAGAATATCAAATTTTAAGTCTACATTGTAAGATAATCTCCAGCAGTTTGTTAAAATATTTTTTTTTGTGTAAAATATACAATTTTTTAGAAGTCTGTTAAGATACACTGTCACGTTACTAATGTGTTTACATAACATTTTTACACAGCCACAGCCACATCAACATATTTCCTTTCCCCTTCATCTTTCTCGTTCCATTAATTAATCAACCCTATATTAAGTAGGTTTGTAAAAATTATGTGGGGTCCATGCATGACACTAGTTGGTTGTAGGGGTGGCAAATTACGAAATGACACGAGTTAAAAGGGTTTGGGTTTAGCATAAACGAGTTTGGGTCATAAAATGATTGACACGATTAACCTGTTTACTTAACCGTGTCGGATTAGGGTTGAGGGGTTCAACCCATATAACCTGTTTACAACCTATTTAACTCAACATGTTATAATAATGAATATGACCTATGTAATATGTTATCCATTTAAACCTAATTACTATGAATAGTTAAGTCATTTCAACATAAGCCTTGTCTATGCCTTATGATTTTTCTTTTTATTTTGAATATTTGGGTTAATTATGACAATTTTTTTATTATTTAGTATTTGATTAAATATTAAATGTCTCGTTTTGATAAATAGGTCATTAAATAAGTTAACACGTTTATTTGTTTAATAAACGAGTTGGGTTAGTATTGAGAATTCTTGACATGATTATTAAATTGGTTGGGTTTGAGTTTGCTTATTTAGTATAATACTCTTACATCGACACGACACGAACACGAATTGCCACCCCTAGTTGGTTGTTATTGGGGGATATATTTTTACACGAAAATATAAAAGAACTACTAGAACTAAAAATAATTAATCTAAAATTTGTATAAATCTATTATAACACATCAGATTTACAAATATATATATATATATATATATATATATGTATACACAACGGTTGGAAATGCTCTAAGAGTAAAGGAAAATAGTTTAATTACTTGTATAATTATATGTCATGTTTGAGAGTATCGATTCGGTGTCGTGGATTTGAAATTGAAGTAAATTTAGTTTAATCTTAATAACAAATCCATTCAAGGTCAAAAATAAAAAATACAAAAGGAGCGTAAAATGATAGAGCCCATGCCCTAGCCCAAGCCAGAGCCCAGGCAGAGACTTTTAGAGTTTGGACCCCAGCATCTATAAAGCCCAACCCACTAATCTTCTCTTTTGAATCCATTGAACTGAGCGTGCTGTCCACGCGCTCGAAGTAGCATATCATATGAAACACCGGTCAAAATCCACAATCGTCAACCTGCTTTCTATTTTGTGCCTTTTTTTTTCCTTATTTATCGATCACACCAAAGAAAAATCTCTCTCTGAATCGAATTTTGATTTTTAGTGGTAAAGCTAAATTCATTAAAAAAAGGTTAGGTTTTATTCGGTAATGATTAATTTTTTACTTGATTCGAAGTTGAATCTTGTTCGATCTCTTCACCTAATTCCAATCTTTGTCTTTTTCGTTTTTTTTGATTTCTTTAAAATCTGATCATTCCTTTTGATTTTTGCAGAGAATTTTGATAAAAAGAAGAAGTTCATTGTGGAAAATTAGAGTGCGCAAATGGAAGTAGTTTCTGATCAGGCCACAAGTGTCTGCAGTCACTGGTATTTGATGAACCCTTGTTCTTAGTTGGAATTTAATGACTATATATGTGTGTGTATATACATTTGAATGCCAAATTAATGTTGCAATTGTAAATTATGTTGTTGTGTTGGTCTCAACTCTTCCTATTTTTTTTTTTTTTTTTTTTTTTTCCCCTTTGTTAGTGATTTGTTTGAAGATCACATGAAATTCAGAATTCTAATATATTGTTGTCTTGACCCCTTTGAGTTTATCTAATGCTGGAAAATCACTGGTTGAGATTTATTTATTTCCTTCGTTTTTTCGAGCAAAGTTATTTTTTGATGCATTAAAAGTTTGTGTGATATAACTAGGGAAAAAAATAAACCGAAGAGTTTGTGTGATGTACAGTTGCTTCCATTATATTATGTTTTTCTTCAGGATTTTATGTTTCCTTTGAATTATTTCTTGTTTCATGTTCCCCTATTCTTTTGGGTCTCAGCAACTTCCTGCTACCCCTTGGTCGATTCCAAGTCATTGTTCATTACATTCACAATCTGATGACTATGACTAAAGTTGCTGAATTTGCATGAGGGCTTCAATATAAACTGCTAAGGAAGACTGTCATTAGCTTTTTGTTTTACTAAGTTGCAACAACATGTACAACAACAAGGCATAAAGGAGACTTAAGCTTCGTCATTATGGCTGGGTCTTCTGTGAATTGTCACGCTTTGATTATTTATTTATACCTATAAAAAAAGACTGAAAATATGAAAAACATATCATGTGTAAGTTTATACAATTTACCAAGTTGCTTGTTAGAGAAACTATTATTTTGTAATCAATTTACCAAGTTGCTTGTATCACATGGTAGTGCAATTCTTTAAATCTATACATCTATTTATTGCAGTTGTTCCGGCCTGCACTCCCCTTTTGGGCGTTTTTCAATGAAATTTACTTATAAAAAAAATCTATACATCTATTTTACGTTAGTATGATATATATTTAGATGGAAAAAGTTGTACAGAGTGTGTAGATATGGCTTTAAACAGCACGATCATCCTTTACGACACATAAAACAGTGGTTTTTGTAAGCTTGTTTGCTTCAATTTTTCTGAAAATAGTTTTCAAGAACAATCTTAGAGAACTACAAATGATTGTTATCTATAATTAGATCTTTTTGACAGTTTTCAGACTCTCAACCAAACGAACTTTTGAATTGTTTTATGTTTTTAAATTCTTCAAAAATAGAGAACTGAACCAAACAGACTGTGATTGTTTTATGTTTTCAGTTCTAATTTAATGAACTCAAAACAGAATACTGTGCGAAGATTCTTATGTCTAACAATTTTTTGAAAAATGAGTTAAAAAAAATCCAGAGAACAAAAAACCTGAACCAAACAGGCCCTATATATACTGATAAGCCACCATTTATATGTTGAAAGACGTTCTGTTACACTTTTAAGTATCAGTTTTCAGTTTGCAATAGTCCTCTAGTTGGGCATCAAATAGTTTGGTTATTCCCAAATCCTTTGGATCATCTATTTTACTCGTCAAATCATCACCTAGTTCAGTTTATTAAGTTATGACTACTATTCTCTGTAGACTCTAATTCAGATGTCCAATGCAAATGATTCACAGCTGATAATGAGAATTGTTATATTCGCAGTGGCAGAGCTATTTCTTCTTCAAATATTGATTTGCATTACGCTCATTGCTCCCGGAATCTAGAAAGATGCAAAGTTTGTGGTGATATGGTTCCTAAAAAACATGCTGAGGAACATTTCTTAAACATTCATGCGCCGGTATGTGAATTTGTCTTACAAAATGTTTATCTGGTGAAATTGTGTGACTTTTATCAAAGGATTTTTCTTCTAGTTCATTTTGGATGAGTGGTTTCTCCATCTTTTATGTTCTATAAATATCTTTGTTTGAAGGGATCTTGCTATCCTGTATGTGATTTTTGTTTTTTTGTTTTTAATTATATTTTATATTATCATAGAGACAAGATATACTTCAATTTATTTAAATGTCAAGATGACAGTTTTCTACGTGTTTCATTTCCGATCCTTGTTTGATAATGATGAAGCAATATAAAAATTTCTCCTTTTAAGAATTTTTTAAATCTCATTTTTCGGAATTCTAGAAAGGTAGGTGTGTATAAAGGTTAAAGTAATAAAAGTTAGCAGTCATGTGATACTTCAAATTGAATGCTTTTGCTATTTTAGACTGATGACTGATCGCCCATGGAAAAAGATACTTGGGACTAAGATTAATTCCCCATCAAATTAGAGTGAATCTAAGAGAAATTGGTACGATAATGTTGTGTAATTTGCAAGTACGAATCAAATTGACTAGTGTTATTAGAAGGCTATAAAGCTGGCTTGCTTCATCAAAGAAATATAAATATATTGTGAACAAGAAGCACCATGAAATTTGCAAAATTAGAATGAGGATGTTGAAATGGACGAGTAGCGATACAAAGAAAGAAAGAAATAAATACAAATGTGGACTTTAGAAGCTAGATGTAACACTAATTGGGGTAGGAAAAGAGGAGAAAGCGTTTTGTAAGATAATTTCATCATGTAACAATTAGCAATGATTGCACTTTATGAGGAGGAGAGATTAGATTAGATTAAAATAAATTTGGGGCAAGAATGAGAAGAAGGCTCTAGATAAATAAACTATGCATGGTAGAATCATGGGGCCTTGCGATTTTTTCTTTTTTATTTTTATTTTTATTGTGGAATATGAATCCACTACAGGTGCCAAGACATTGGCAAAACCAATGTACGTGAGAGTAATACAGCTTATACAAAAAGGGTGAAGAGCATAATCATTGCATAAATAAATTCTACAAAAGAATTTATCGAGAGATGATAGGACTCTACTAGGACTCTAGAAAACCTGCTATAGTAAAAAAGAAGTCTCTTTCAAAGGGTGCACCTATTCCTCGAATGATAGATAAGCAAAGGGGTGCGGGCCATGCGGCACACAGACCTTCCCATCATCTGCCTCGAGCAACTCCTTCTCCAACTCCTCAATACATCAATCAGTCACTAAGCCATAGCCCAGCCAATCCAAAAGGATAGAAGTACTTTGCATATGAAGCACCAGTTAGCCATCCAGAATCACCTCAATTTTTCTTTTTCTTTTTTAATTTTTTTTTTCTCGAATATGTGATTATAGCATTCAAATCACAACTTTGCAGTTTGCGCCCTTGATTGAGTTGAATTTTGATACAGGATTTGTGTGGTTAGCTTGAAGTAGTTTTGGTTTAAAGTTTTGTTGAGTCTAGTTGAGATATTTCAATACTTTTAAACCAGTTGTATTATGAAACAAATGGATTGAAACTTGAAAGATCTACATATTCAGGGAGTCAGATTAAAGTAAGTTGTCAAACACCTTCCAAAATTTATGTAGCCACCGTGATTCATAGAGTGATCCTTAATCTTCTATTGTATGTGCAACTTCAAGGAAATAATAAATATCTTTTGTGTTAATTTTCAATGCTTCTGATAATGTGAAGCTTTTCACATTCTTTGCTTAGTGCACTGATAAAATGCTCGGGCTACCAAGCGTGAAAACACGGGTTCAACGTTGAGAGCAGCCACTTTGTGCAATTAATGCCAAATGTTAGGTCTGTATCCAGTCAATCCCTCCTAGCACTCTTGGCTATTAGGGACAGACTGTTTTTTTGGATGTTGTACCCACAATTTCATAATTCTTCATGACACTTTAAATGATTTTGTATGACTCACCATACCTTTTCCCGATTGGTCACTTCTTTTCTTTTTCTTCAAAAAAAAAAAAAAAAAAAAAAAAAATTCGGTTAATGTTCTCGTGTTTAAAACTTCAAAGGTTCAACTTTGAGGCTTGGATTAAGAAATACCTCTGTAGATGTCCCTGCTTGTAAGCTCTTACTGTGTAAAAATTCCCATTCAAATGTTTTACTTAAGACTCTGCAAACCTAAAGATTTCTGTTTTTATTATTTATTTATTTTTGTCAGGTAAGTACTCACACAAAACCAATGGGCCAGTGGCCCAGTTGTACCAAGCCCCTACCTCTCAAAGGGAGGACAGGGGTGGTTCAAGCCTCCATGGAGGCATGGGTGTGTGAGTACCACCAAAGAAAAAAAAAAAAAAAAGTACTCACACACACATTGCCCATGCCAGGGCTTGAACCCCTCCCCTCCTCTTTGAGGATAGGGAGGTTATACCATTGGGCTAGTGGCCCATTGTTAAAAAGATTTCTGTTTATTAGTCAGTCTTGGGCCCTTGGCAACATTTGCATCTAAGAAAAATTAGAAGAAATATATATATATATATATATATATTATTCTGTTAAGATAGGAGCCAATGCTTGGCGCATGTTAATAGCTTGTGTTGTCAAGCTTGGGAATGCTCAAGTCTCCGGAGCCACTTCATGCACACATTGCTCTACTTTTTCATGTTAGGTCCACATTCCTAGCATGCAGGACAGACACTAAGTCATGACTATTATTTGATAAATACATCAGAAGCTTCAATAGTATCGTTGATATTTGGCTTAGCCCTGGTCTTTGTAAAAAGTAAAATTTTTTGCAGTATTTTAAATATCTACTAGTACAACCTTCGTCCATCTCTCATGCTCCATATATTCAAACTCTCTCTGTTGGCTTCTTGCCCATTATTAGTCTTCACCCCTCTCTCTCTCTCTCTATCTCCAACATATTTTTTATTGAGTATTCATCAAAGTTTCACGAATTAGAGCAAAGATATTTATTTAGACAAAACAATAATTGAATTCTGTCAGTAGTGATGCCCCCAACATGTTTTCTCTATACAAGATACTCATTGCAAGCATTAGCTTTCAAATTGATCTTCCATTGTTGTTGTAAATAATATCAAAAAAGGGGCACATATGAATTCTGATTATGAAATAGGCTGAACAGGAGAAAAATTCTAGGAAAAAATTGTTTTGAAACCTAAATTAGTGGGGGTTATTGGAATATCTAGTTTGTATTAAGTTCAAATTATTTCCTATTATACCACACTAAATTATAGACCATCGTATCTTTTTCTGAAGTTCTAAATCCACGTTCTTGTAGCTGCCTTCTTGTGCTGATACTGCACTAAAATCTAATAATGCTGCTACATAGATCACAAACATTTACCTGATTTGTTCACTTGCTAATCATTTATTATATTCAAAACGGAAGAATCATTTCCCTCATCTGTTTTATCATGTGACATAAGTAGGTTAGCTAATATTGGAGAATAAACTCGATATTCAATCTAGAAAAAATATTCCATTATCAAGAGAGAGAAAATCATTAAGTTCCTAATCAGATCTAGCTGGACAACTATTACCATAAATGACATGCTGTATGCGCACACATTATAATGTAACTCTTGAATATTGTTTCCATAGATTCAGACAGCTTTAACATGTCTAGAAACAAGAAGGGAAATGAAATAGTTGTCTTAAGTCCTCTTTAGCATGGCATGAATTTAATGCTTTCATTGATTAACATTTAGCTAAAATTTTAATAAGAATGAACATGCGAGGTTTGATTGTTAGGGAAGTTTCTTTAGTCGCAAAGACCATTCTTTCATTGGATGTAAGAGCGTTTTAAGTTTTTTTTACTCCAGCTATTTTGAACCATTTACTACTGTGGAATTGTTGAAGCTAGAGATGCAGGTTTTTTGGAGTGGAAAATCCTTAGAGCTTCTTAATTATTTCCTATCTCTATCATTGGGACGAGCTTTTCTCAAGTTGAATAATGTTCTTGCATATAATTGTGTTGGTGACTGCATTGTTTTGGTCAGGTAGCATGTTCACTGTGCAGTGAGACAGTTGAACGTGAAATCTTAGCTCTGCATGAAAGTGAAAATTGCCCCCAAAGGATCGTGACATGTGAGTACTGCGAGTTTCCATTGCCTGCAATTGATCTATTTGAGCATCAGGTAGTAATTGCTAAATGATTTGAAAGTAAAAGTTATAACATCTACTTTGGGTTTGTATAACTATTTTTGGTTGTGATTTCAGGAGGTATGTGGGAATCGGACAGAACATTGTCATCTGTGCAGCAGATATATTAGACTGCGTGAAAGAAATGACCATGAAAGCAGATGCAATGGTGTAATAGATAATACTGCAGAATCTTCTAGGTAAAAATAATTATGATTTGTTTTTATGTTTTTCTATGATTCAAAGCATTACATACTTTTTTTTAGTACTTTATGATGAAATATATCTGCAAGCAAAACCAATGAGCAAGAACTTGCAAATGCTTGGTAATTTTCAAAGGTTCAAAGGCGTACTTGTATTAGGATCATGAGAAGTTATGCCTATCTATCATGCACAGTTTACCCATTTTCCCTAAGGTGTTGCAAAATTTCACGAATTCTAGTTCTATTGAGTTAGCATCAATCTGTAGGATAATGGTTACAAGATGGTAATCAAAATGTAGGCTAAAAGGCTGAACACGATCCATCTGGAAGATTTATTTTGATGAGTGCATTAATATTAGGTGTTTGAACCTTGGGAGCGCTCCTCTCTTGAGTGCCTTGAATGAAATATTACTTACTAAAAAAAAGTAAAAGAAATATATATTAGGTTCTTGAACTCTAGGATGAATGTTGTATATATGCTGATTGTATTCAGGATGTAAGTGCACAATGTTGAACGCTTATATATGATCTAAACAATTTGGGTTGTGTTCAGGTATCCCATGGAATTGGAAAACATTGTTGTGTATTACAGACCATATTAAGGTAAAATGCCTAGATTCTGAATGTGGCCGTAGATGATAATGAGTGCCTTCACCATAACTAATTTGGTGGGTGATTGTTGAGTTTTTCTAGAAATGTTCTTCCAATATCTCATCACCATTTGTGAGATGCCCACCATTTTCTCCAATCCATAGAATTATGATGATGGACTTTAAGGAATATGGGACTCATCAACCTCCAAGGGACATACCATAGTTTGTGCAACCATTCTAAATCATCCTTATGGCGATAAATGAAAACTTATCTGTTGTTTGTCTTGTGCTTGGAATGAGAGAGGAGAAGAAAATAGAGAAATTTTAAAGTTCTTCCCCTCCTTTTTTTTTTTTTTCATTGCTTCTTTTATATTCTCTTCTTGTTCTTCTCTTTTCTCCTACTAAACAAGAGAAGAGAATTTTAAAAGCCCTTTCATTTACTATTTCCTTCTCTCCCTCACTTTTATTTTCTTTTAAGTACCTTCCCTTTTGCTAACTTCTATTTTCCTCTCTCGTACCTTTCCCCATTCTTGAAACAACAGTAATTTATTTACCCTTGATCAATTTTTGATGGTCCATTATAAAAATGAGCCGACCCACAAAACATGTTATAGCTCAAGTTACAACCCATAGAAATCAAACATCTCTCAAAAAATTGTACCCACACTCTCTTCTCTCTCTCTTCCTCTAAACTTTATCTCTGTATGCAGCATTTGTGAATAATCCTCCTAAACTAATTTTCAAATCAAAAAGTCCTCTCATCTACCAAACCGCGCAAATTGCCTGCCTGCAGCACATGGACAACCCTTAATAATTTTTACGGTGAAATGGTCATGTGCACTGCATCTGACATTGAAATTTGGTTTTATGACTATTAATCCCTTTGTAGATGAACGTTTTACCCTTGATTAATTTTTGATGGTCCATTATAAAAATGAACCGACCCACAAAACATGTTATAGCTCAAGTTACAACCCATAGAGATGAAACATTTTTCAAAAAATCGTACCCACACTCTCTTCCTCTAAACTTTATTTCTGTATGCAGCATTTGTGAATAATCCTCCTAAACTAATTTTCAAGTCAAAAAGTCCTCTCATCTACCAAACCGTGCAACTTGCCTGCCTGCAGCGCATCGGACAACCCTTAATTCTTTTTACGGTGAATTGGTCATGTGCATCGCATTTGACATTGAAATTTGGTTTTATGACTATTAATCCCTTTGTAGATGAACATTTTACCCTTGATCAATTTTTGATGGTCCACTATAAAAATGAACCGACCCACAAAACATGTAATAGCTCAAGTTACAACCCATAGAAATCAAACATCTCTCAAAAAATCGTACCCCTTCTCTCTGTTCCTCTAAACTTTATCTGTGTCATTGCTTATATATACACTGTTGCCAACCATGACTGGAAAAACAACTGCGACCGCGATTTGTGCCTTGATCAGTCCACTCATGACAACTAATGGCGATCTTAAGGACCCTTTTCCAAGTTGCCCTCCTCACCACCTCCTACATCTTAAACAGCACAATGACACCCCATCTGGAACAGAACTATTCTTTTGCAACATATAGTCCATCAAGGAATCCGAATCCACCTTCATCCGGTTCAGTGTGAATGCCCTTTCTCATATCTGTCTGGTTGTTCCCAATGTCACAACCTCAAGGACTGGCAACTACTGGACTTGCTGAGTCAAGGACTGAATTTATCAAATTGAAAACCATGCTTGCAGTTGGCCCAATTCTTTTTTATAAGTGCAGTTGGCCCAATTCATTGATGCTTAATTGTTTTCTAGAAACAGTTTATGCTTATCCTAGTGGCATTGTGATTTGGTCCCCTATATAGCGAAGAAAACGTGTTCTTGGATATTCCGAGGATTGGCTATAGAATTCATATGTACTGTTATGATATCTATCCGGAATGTCGTATCTCGATTTCAGGAGAGAGAGAGAGAGAGAGAGAGTGAGAGAGAGAGCACCAACTGAGACGATGAATTGAAGGTGATGTTGACATATACAAGGGTCAGTGATTTTTCCTAAGGACTTGGATGTTCATTTGAGAAACGAAGTGATGAAATGAAGAATTTCATCAGTAAATTATGCAGTTTCACAAGGAAGTCCTTTTGAAAAGTTTTAAGTACAAAATTGTACAACTGTGATCATATGATCTGAATCACCTTGTTCGTGATTATATTTCTTTACAGTACTTTTAACCTGACTTACCTCCTACGAAACTTCTAATTCATTTCACCACATTGTAATTTTCAACATTTGCCATGATCAGCTTTTACTTGCATCACCCGGATTAGAGAGGAACAGACCTCGACTTCACTAAGTAGATGCACTAGGATTCCTGATTATGCCTTCTTAATTGACACTCATTTCTTGTTCTGACATTTTACATGTCCTCATTCATTAACTGTAGGACGTTCTGGTTTCCATAAGATCCATTGAAATTTCTGAAAATTTGTATTACTATGATTTTACTTGCTTTTTCATGGATGCTGTTTATTTGCAATCTCTTTAGGGGCAGAAGGACAGCTGAAAGAGAGCATGGTGATCTGAGAGGGCCTCCACTTGAGTTTTCACGGCGACGCGTAATGTTTACCATTGCAATAAGCACTGCTGTGCTATTAGGTTCGCTATTTTTCCAGGGAAAAATGCAGAATAATTAAGTGCATTAGCAGTGGAGAAAAACGGAGATAATTAAGCGCGGTAGCAGTTGAGGGAAACACATTGGCAGTACATGTTACCTGGATTTGTTATTACAGCATAATGCTATGACTATTGAACTTTTTTGCTTTATGTTAATACTTGGACAGGTAATGCATATCCATTTCCTTATTAGATGATTCACGCCATTCAGTTGCAGTAAATATGCATCTGTAAAGAATTTTTTTTTTTGTAGTATGCATCTGTAAAGTTGAGAACATGTGATGAAAATCTTAACTCTGGAATTTTAGTAGAATTATTGCATGTTGCTTTGTTGACGATAAGTTGCGGTTTAATTTATTGGTTACTTTGCTTGAAATGTGAACTGGATTGAAAGGCATGCATGAGTTGCATTTACTTGAATCCTTAGGTTAGAACAGTTGGTCAGAGGTCACAACACAAGGCAGAGTCCCTTTCTTGAACTCTCTCCACCCCCAAGTCCTCGTGAAATTTCTCATGGTATGTTCGGGAGCACTGAATTGGTGCTTTGGATTTGAGATTGAAGGAAGTTTAGTTCAAAATTTGTACTAAATTTTATCCTATCCTAAATTTAAGGTGCCGATTCGGTGCTACCCGACATAGCATTAGGTTCATCCGGCATACAACTTTCGGGTGTGGGTGTGCACTGAGGTGAATAGTCCTGCCACGAGGATCGATAACAAAAATAGAAAAAACTTGAGCAACCTTTGCTTGACCTAATTTGCCAATTCTTGATGCTAGAGTGTTACGTATTGAAAAGGTGTTGTCATTTTTCAAAAGTTCGAGCAACGATATTTTTCCTATCAGGTTTGACCTCTCAATCTCTCCTTTGTCTTTTGGAATAGAAAGATCATATCATCTGGGCTAACGTCCACTGATAAAGGGTGCTGCAGTTAACTAAGAAAAAACTTTCAAGTATGAATGGTAGCTAGTTAGCTACTAAGATTAACTAAATTTCCAAACAAACCAAAGAAGGAATATTTTGGCTCTACGGGTAGCTAGTTTTGTGGTAAATTGTTGAATGAGGAATGTAAAGGTGGCTTGAGGAATGTTTTCATTTCATATACATGGAAAAAAAGTGAAAATGAGAGCTATCTCATAGTAAGTTCTCTCACTTTGTAGCTAGTTTTTCGCAATATGAATACAGAAAGGGTAGGAGTGGATGTTAGTTTTTATAATTTAGCTCATATATTGGAACGAAAATATAAAATTACACCAAATGTTAAAGGTTTACTAATAATACAAATATGTACATTGAATAACAAATAAACATCTAATGAAAATATTGACAATCACATATATTCTAAAATACATCCCCAAACTCAAACATTTCTAAATGTCCTCAATGAGCATGTTCACATAAAGGCAATTGATTAATTATATTTACAAAAGAGTCCCTACATCATACCATGTCTAGTTTTTTTTTGGAATGCCGTAATTGTCCTTCTTACATGACTCGTTTAATTCTTTTATCCTTCCCTAGAATTCCAATTTGTTCTGAGCCAGAAAGGAAATGGAGGGCTGAGCATAATTAGTGCCAATATTACTTATCAAAAAAATAATAATAATTAGTGCCAATATCTACTCTCCAAAAATTAAATTAATGAAACACAAAAGATAATAGAGCCCTATTTAAGGGTTTGTAAATAGGGTATAGACGGATTAGCGCCTATATCAACTCATATATACAAATCTAAGGCCTCTAACTTCCAAATTAAACAAATTCAATAAATTTCATAAATAACCAAATTATATACTGTAGAATAAATAGGCCAACATAAATAGGCCCATAAATCACATAAATAGCCAAATTAAATAGAATAAATAGGCCTACTAATTCAAAATAAATAAGCCACTAAAAAAAAAAAAAAAAAATGGGCCATATGGAAAACTTATGCAGTAAAGTTTCAAAATCTTTTCAAATTTCCAATAGTCACCCAAAAGGCAAGGATATTGTTGTCATTTACTTACAATTTATTTCTTCGCACGTGACTTGCACCCGTGACTTGCACCCGCCTGTATCTAATTCATTATAAAACAGTTGGCGTCAAAGTAAAAAAAAAAAGTGAACTGAAGAATTTTTGTCTCATCTTCCTGGTGTTATAAGCAACCAAACCAAAGATTCAAACTCAAGCCTTCAAACTGTCATCTTCTCAATCTGAACTTGCAAAAGGTAAGATTGGAATGTTTTTTTTTTTTGGGTTCAAATAATCATGGGTTTTTCTAAATTAATGTAGCAAATGATAATATAAATTCTTTAAAAAAATCAGTAATTGAGACTTTTTGTGCCGGAAAAAAGTTTCAGGAGATAGCTTGGGGCTCAAACAGAGAAAATGGCTGCTTCAGGGGTGCAACTGAATGTTCAAGTTGATCATGTAATTCTCATATTTACTTTCTTTTTTTTCTATGTTCATTATGTATATATAGTTGAAATTAGTGAGTTTGGTTGAAATCATATACATATATTTGTATATATCTTTGTATGTATATGTATGCAATATCGCTCAAACCATTGTGGATTTGGCTGAAAAATATGCTTCAGTGTGCTGTGTGCATGACTGTAAATATATAATGAGTCTTAATTTCAAATCAAAGGAAGAAAAAAAAAAAAAAAACCATGACTTTTAAATAAACTTTAACATAATATAAGTTTATTTTATGTTATTATTAAAAAAATATTTAAAAGGAAATGTTAGTACAACATTTTATATTGCCTTCAAGCCTTGGCGCAAGCCATTTCGTATTGCATTCATCTGATCCTCCCAAACCCCGCAATGGTTATCAAGACTTCAAAAAATATTGTAAAACAGATGATGTCTAAAATTTTAAATTTTTTTTAAGGAAAAAAAAAAAAATCATGTTTTTTATTCTCTGCAATAACATTGTCATAGGAAAATTTTGAAATAAAGTAGTTCAGCATTAGAGTCCTACATTGGTTAATTGTCTGTCACATAATTTAAATGATGCATATGTAATTTGTGCAGGTGGTGATAGATAATGGCATACTCCAACTCACATTATCAAATCCAGGGGGAATTGTCACCGGTATTCAATACAATGGAATCGATAACTTGGTTGAACTTCGCAATCCGGAATTGAATGGAGGGTATGGAAATGGTGTTACAAATGCTCCATAATCTTGAAGCAGTGCTTTTCAAGAAAACCCTAAAATTCAATTTTGTATGGACCTCTAATTAAAAGAAACTTAAATTTGATAGATAATGTTCTGGTACAAATGCATTGTGACATGTTATCTTAAAAGAGTGTATTTTTTATTTTCTGAGTTTCATCAGCTGTTTAGTTTTATTATTGATACAAATGGTAGTTAAATGACTGAATAATAGAATTTATTTTCTATGGAATGTACAGGTTCTGGGACCTTAATTGGAGTGAACCAGACAGTGCAAAGACAAGGGGAAAATTCGATACGTATGTCTCCTTCCCTCTGTCTCTCAAACACACACTTACACACACACAACCAACCACAATTGAAAGGTTTTAAAGTCATGATCAAATGAATTTTCTTAGAGAATTGCTCACCTAATTTTGTTCACCATCCTATATGAAGGGGAAAATTTGATACATAATGTCTCCCTCCCTCTGTCTCTCAAACACACACTCACACACACAAACAACCACAAATTAAAGGTTTAAAAGTCATGATCAAATGATTCTTCTTAGAGAATTTCTCACCTAATTTTGTTCACCATCTTATATGTCGAATAATTTCGAAACTAATGGAGGAAATGAATTCAGTTCTTTTTTTTCCTTGGTTCCCCTGAAGAACTATTGGGAGACTTTTAGGTGTTAGGAGCAGAAATCGATTTCTTATCTAGCTAAGAATTTCCTATCTGGTGCTTGTTTACTGAGACTAAATATGATAACTTTGATCACTAGAAGTTTATAATAATTTGATATGGTGACCCAAATCTAGTTCATTGTTGTTCACTATAGTAAAGTGCTAATGTGACATCCAATATGGTGACAATTATGCTGTATATTTAATAAAAAGAACAAAAAGAAGTTCATAAAATAATTAGAAATAAATTCAGAAAAAACCTCTTTAAAACATTACATTTATCAATTCCCTAACAACTCTACCTCATTTTGTTTTTTGGAGTTTTTCCAAATGTTTTGAATTTTGCCCCTTCCTTTTATGTATTGTTTATTGATTAATCTCCAATTCCATGTTTTATGAACCAAAAATTTCGGAAATTCAAATTCTTCCCTATGATTTTATACATAAATTGGGCTAGTGTCTAAATAACTTTCTTCTATACTAAAGCTAGTATTCAGAACCTAGAATGATTATAATGCAGGATTGAAGGGACAATTTTTAAGGTTATAGTGGAGAATGAGGAACAGGTAGAGCTCTCATTCACACGACCATGGGATCCTTCGCTCCGGGACAAGCAAGCCCCCTTACACATAGAAAAAAGGTTCATGCTTAAATCTCAAATATTTATTTATTTATTATTTCACTGTTATTGTTGATTAATTGACAGCGATGATGATGGCGGTGGTGATGATATTTTAGGTTTATAATGCTTTGCGATTCCTCGGGATTCTACAGCTATGCCATTTTTGAACACTCGGAGGACATGCCTGCTTTCAACCTCAACACAACCAGGATTGCCTTCATGCTCAACAAAGACAAGTACACAACAAACTTTTGCCATCTTCTTTTTTTAATCAAATTACATAATGCCTTTTAAAATAAAATTGCATAGCATAAGTAACATGTTGAAAAATAGAGACTCATTGAAAAAGCTTTTCCTAACAGCCAATTGAATTATGTTTAAAGCAATTTGTATGAAAGTCTCTGTTAATAGAACAAAACCTTTTTTGTCCATCATAGAAAAACTATACAATAAAATATAAATAATCACCATGCACTTGTTTGGTTGTTGAAATTTCGACCCTTTTTTACTAGTGTTGTGAAAATTGAACCCGAACACTCATGTTTTTTACTTGCCATAATTGAGAAGTTGATGAAATGTGCAAATAATGAATTATGTTCCTCATTTTGGCTCTCAATTCATGTTTATGATAATGTGTAAGCTCCATGCAAACTGACCGATTTATTCGTACACTGATCTGAATCTTGATCTGCTCTCCTAGTGACAGAATTACACATAATTTGTTTTGGTGGAAAGTCTATACAGAAAATATGTAGTACGCCAACTGCATTGACATACTCAAAGGGAAAAATTAAAAATAGATTTTCACATTGGTGTATTTTGAGCCTACAGGTTCCATTACATGGCTGTAGCAGATAACAGGCAACGATACATGCCCCAGCCGGAGGATCGAATGCCAGGAAGAGGTCAAGAACTGGCCTACCCGGAAGCAATGCTACTTGTCAACCCCCTAGAGCCAGAATTCAAAGGAGAGGTAATTATTTTTCACTCATTTTCATCAGGAAAAAAAAAAACACATTTCATGAATTGTTTTTTTTTTTTTTTTTTTTTTTTTCAGCATTTAATGTTGCTGATTAAATGACACATTCTTGCTCTCCTACATACACAATTGAGTTTATCATCCAAAAAGGAATTAATTAAGAATGATTTTTTTCCCTATGAGAAATTAGAATAATTATAAAGGCAGGAAAGGAAAATGTAACATGTTTTGATTGATTTCTGATGTTCAGGTGGATGATAAGTACCAATACTCATGTGAGAACAGAGATAACAAGGTTCACGGGTGGATATGCTTTGACCCGCCCGTGGGGTTCTGGCAAATCACACCTAGTAATGAGTTCAGAACTGGTGGACCATTCAAACAGGACCTAACTTCCCATGTGAACCCATCAACCCTTGCTGTATGTCACCGATAACCATTTTCTCCACTTGGTTGAAGTGGATAGATTTTATGCTATGTTCATTTGCAAGGAATCGGAATTGGGAAAATTTTAAATTAATTTTTCTCCAATTCCAATTCCAATTCCAAGGCACCAATTCCATGCAACCGAACATAGCATGTGTATTTTGTTTAGTATTACTTTCAGCATCATTAATGTGAAGGTTGTATTATACAACAAGATGTGGCTGTGACATTTTTAGCAGTGTTCTTAACAACAATTGATATGGTGGTAGCATGTGCATGAAATGTACCAGTAATTAGTGTCATGAGTTTAGTAAATATTGCTAATTAATACATTTGATCAAAATTTTGTGACAGATATTTATCACTTCTCATTACGCGGGAGAGGATCTTGTGGTAAAATTAGGACATGGTGAGGTGTGGAAGAAAGTTCTTGGTCCTGTTTTTATTCATCTTAACTCTGTGCTGGATAGAAACAATGCGCTTTTGCTCTGGAAAAATGCAAAGGAACAGGTTTGGCATCGAAAATCTTCTTGTTTATATTTTGGAAACAATAGTACTATGACTTTTAAATATGAACGCTGGTGCAAAATAATCTTCAGATGAATATTGAAGTCCAAAGCTGGCCCTACAGTTTCCCAGCTTCCGAAGATTTCCCACCGTCTGATCAAAGGGGTACAATTAGGGGCAAATTACAAGTCCAAGACAGGTGTGAACCCATTCCTTATTTTTTTTTATTTTTTATTTTTATTTTTTCCTGAGCTTCTCTTGATTGCATTATATAACCTGGACTTAAATTGTTTGTTATTTAGATTACTTTGCTTTTGGTACTTGAAATTCTTAGAAGTCCTGCTCATTTAAATTTCAGAAAAGACCATTAGAAGAACTCTCACCACAATAAGAAAATATATATTACTAAAGTGTTAAGTAACTGATAGAAATTCATTAGAATTATTGTTATTATAATTAATATGAGATGGACAATGTTGTGAAAAATGGCATGTGTACTTGTTGTAATTGTTGGATCGATCCTAGTTTATCATTTCATAGAAGATAAGAGTGGATGTGCATAACTGATTTTTAGCTTACACAGAACTATTGTCATTGTAATTTGCAGCATTAGATGTAATTTCAGGAATGACTCAGGTGTGTTTTTGTTACCATTCCGGTGAGGCTGTAGAAAGCCCATTGGCTAATTATCGAACGAGTTCCAACTAAAATTGTACATAAGAATATGTGTCCTGAAACAGATCACCACTCTTACTATTTTTTATTTTTCTTTCCATTTCTTCATTTCATTGTTTTTGCCTGGTACAGTAATTTTGATCTAATGTAATCTAATTAAACTTGTTTAGATATATTAGCATGGACTATATTCCAGCAAACGGCGCCTACGTTGGGTTAGCCCCTCCCGGAGATGTTGGATCATGGCAAAGAGAATGCAAGGTTATCTTATGATACCATACATGTTAGGGATACAGAAAAAGGACTTTGTTTATTAATTTCTTGTGCAGACCATGCTTAATAATACTCTTGTTATTTCTTATGTGTAACATTATATCAGGGATACCAATTTTGGACCACAGCAGATACAGAAGGCTACTTTACTATCAAGAATATACGTGCAGACGACTACAATCTTTATGCATGGGTCCCTGGTTTTATAGGAGATTACCGTTATAGCGATGTTTCTATTACCATAACCTCAGGTTCTAACTTATCACTAACTCTTTCAAGTTCAACTATTGAATTAAGGCATTTTGCGAATTTCAATTCTCTGTTAGAGCAGGGTGTGACATTGATATGGGCAATCTTGTGTATCAACCTCCAAGAGATGGGCCAACATTGTGGGAAATTGGCATCCCCGATCGTTCTGCTGCAGAATTTTACATTCCTGATCCTAGTCCAAAGTATATTAACAAGCTTTACATCAACCATCCCGACAGGTTTAGCTCTCCCTATTACCAAATTTTGGATAGTCAAAAGAGAAGTTTTTAGTGTAGTTATAAATAATTTAGTCAACTGATTTGCTTAGTTACCAAAAAATAAATAAAATTATTTGGTTTAATCATGTTGATCATCTTCCTCTGAGTACAGGTTTAGGCAGTATGGATTATGGGAGAGATATGCCGATCTATATCCCGATCAAGATCTGATTTACACTGTTGGCATTAGTGACTACAAAAAGGATTGGTTTTTTGCTCAAGTAACCAGGTATCTTTCCTTGGACTTTAGTTTTGTTTGACTATAAGGTTATTAGTTCCAATCCTTATGATTTTTCCGAAAGGTCAATGCCTTCATGTAGTGGAAATGAGAATGGTAAGATGAATAAGCAGAGTGACTAGGAGAGATAAGGTCACTAATGAGAGTATGAGAGAAAAATTAGGTGTATCACCTACTGGTGAGAAAATTAGAGAGAGTAGACTTAGATGGTTTGGGCATATATAACGGAGACCTAGAGACGCGTTGAATAAGAGGGAAAGACTAGTTGTAATAGAAGGTAAGAGATAGAGATGGCGGCCAAAAATAACATGGGATGAGATTATTAAAATCACTTTAAGAAGTTAAACGTGGTAGGGGAAATGACATGTAATAGGAAAGAGTGGAGAGAATTCATGCGGCCGATCTCATTCATATGGGAACTAAGGCAAGGATGATGATGATGTAAGAATAGGATGGATGATAAGTGTATGTCGTTTGTTAGTAAATGCAACTTAACTTTGGTTGATCTGTCATTGTGAAAATGGCAAACTGAACCCCAAGGGTGGCCCAGGTGGGTATGAACTTGGCTCTGGTGCCTCGGGAAGCATCAAGTCTAAGGTTCGACTCCTCTTGGATGCAAAAAATTCCTTGAAGTGAAAAATGGCAAACTGTGTTGCTAGTGATTCCCTTCTTGACTATTTCATAATACTGGCTAATGGTTTCTCCAATTAACTAATTGTTGCTAGATGTTTAAAAAATTATTGTATCTTGCATTGCAGGAAAACTGGTGATAAGACATATAAAGGAACTACATGGCAAATCAAGTTCAAACTTGGCAATGTGGATCAAAGAGGAACCTACAAATTGCGACTGGCACTTGCATGTGCGCATCAATCTGAGTTGCAGGTATGAATGGCATGAATTTATATCATGTTGGTCCTTAGAAAATTCACACAGTTCACACAGTATGAGAAATCTGTGGTTCTTTTCTCTAGCTCCCTTTACTTTTCATTTCCATAAAAAAAAACATAGGGTACAATAATTGACACTAGTATTGAATTTTCTCAAAGGTTAGGATTAATGATCCAGAAGCAAACCCTCCTCTATTTTCAAGTGGTGTAATTGGGAAGGACAATGCTATAGCAAGACATGGCATTCATGGGCTCTATTGGCTGTTCAATGTGGACATACCGGGCGCTAAACTCGTGCAAGGGAACAACACCATGTATTTGACACAAGCAAGGAACACTAGCCCTTTCCAAGGGATCATGTATGATTATATTCGTTTCGAAGGTGTGTCCGGATCCTCTGCTGTAACCAACAACTGCTGTAGTGTGATGTAAAAACTTTTAACACACTTAAAATTCATTTTCAGCACATTTGTTCTAGATCTCAGGAGATGATGCATGTGTTGAAACACGTTTAACTGTGTTGAAATCTGTTTTCAAAGTCGTTATTTCTAGTTTCAACACACTTAAATTGTGTTTCAAAAGTATTGAAATTGCGTTGAAAAACACTACAGCACGCTACAGCAGGCTGAATCATGATTTCTAGTAATCAATTGTTCATGTTTAGGCTGTTTATGATTTATGATCTGTGGCTCTGTGCTCTTCTTCATACTACATTTGTGCATGTAGTTTATCAAGAAATGAATGAGGCCTCACTAAAATGGTTATATTATTATTTTTCGGTAAATAATCACTAAGAATTAATATTTCACTAATAAGCATAAAATCTTGCTACAAAATTCAACACAGCTAAAACTAAATGTCAGATATGTTCTTTGCTATACCTAGAACCTGGCACTGGGTTGGTCAGGGTCCATGCCTGCACTGATTCATAATAAAATTCAAAAATAAAACATAAATCAAATGAACATACAAAGGGTTCAAGAACCATCATACGAGGAGCTTCCCACTTGCCTGTTAGTTAGTGATTGGTCAGAACCATATGGTCCCTTGGCCATGTAATAATTTTTTTTAGTATAGGAGAGGAATGGGAGTTTAACAACATTTTTCTTTTCATTGATTGAATATTGAGAACAGCAACCCACAGTTGCATCATCATGATTATTGGTAGCAATCTCTTTAGGTTATGTTCTGCATGGAATTAGAGCTTTGGAATTGGAATTTGTAGAATTGGAGAAAATTTTAATTTGATTTTATGAGTTGCTTTTCTCCAATTCTACTAATTCCAATTCCAAGCCTCCAATTCCATGCAGCCGAACATAATTAAATTAAATCTCCATATTGGCTTCTATCTCAATCTACTCTGCTTTGATACACTTTTACATATGTTGGATATATTCTCCATTTTGCATGATAAAACTGGGAATAAATCTTTGTACTTATTTTAGAACAGCTTTCATTGAAATCAAGCACTCACAGCAGTGTCAAAGAATCCCTTTTATGTCATTGAATACAACTTTCTTTTCTTTATCCCAGGATTAATTTGAGATGACATTTTAAAACTAGGTCTTAAATTTGTCTTCAATTACTAAATGATTAATTAGTCTCCTCAGTATAGACCCTAAATATTTCCCTCTGGCAAAACTAGGTATTTCCAAAATTTTATACTTTTAAAGCTACTATGTCTGTTGTACAGAATTACTAGTTACTACTACTTTGTATGTATGTGTAGTGTGTACATACACTTTTATATGCTCACACTCCACTTCTAATAAAATAAATGACAGAATCAACCCTCAAAAAAGTGGAGTTTAAATCACCTTTACAGAAAAAATGTGGAGTGCAGAGAATGTGGAGTGCAGAATATTTTTTAAAAATAATCATGTCATTTCTTTCATTTAAAATGGTAAAATATCGAGTAAAAGAGTGTCGTGCAAACATCATTTCCATGTATCAATATTGGACACGAATCCATAAGTTGAATAGTTAAAAAAATTGACAGTTAGCTTATAGAATCATGATCATCAATTTCGCATTTTGTGCATCTCTTGTCATCTTTACCTCTACAATTCTTGCACGTATCAAATTCACCAAAAGAGAGGTGACTTTGAAGTAAAGAGATGTAATAAAGAAAAGCAAGAAAGAGCATGCTTTTTGTGCCTAGTTGAAGGTAACCAACTCAAAGTTAATGGAGTATGCAATAATAAATATAGGCTCCAAAGTCCTACTTTCTCTCTCCATAAACTACTGAGAACCCTAAAAGGTAACATCATTTCTCTCCTCAAAATCATCAAATGTAACCAATAATATTTTTATTTACTACTTATTAATGTGATCAATATTATTAATTATTAAACGTGTCACTATGGGAATTTGCTATGAAGTTTATGTAGTTGTAGAATCTAGCTAGATTCAACAATGTCCTTTTTCTTTTTCCCTTACTTTTGTTTTTGACCAAGAAGTCTATAAAGTTGTATTTTTGCAATCATGAAGTTTCCAAGCTCGTTCTTTTACTCATTTTTTGTTGTTTCATTTTCTTTTGAAAGTTCAAGTAAATGCGCACACTCTCACAATATTAATACTAGCTAGCATTTACATTAGCAGGACTTGACTCTCAACCTTTCCTTTTAGAAAGAAGAGATCATACCATATATTAAGGTGTCCAACCCTTATGGTCTCCTTTTTTTTTCTTCTTCTTTTTTTTTTTTTTTTTTTTTTTTTTTTTTTTTTCTGTAAATCTTGATGATCCATTTATTGTTGCTTAATTAATCAATTATATTTTTGGAATTTACATGCAGATTCTTATTTTCCCCAAGAAATTGCAGGCAATATAAGCTAAGGAGGGCTTGGATTAATGTCTAACAAAGGGGTGCAACTGCATATTCAAGATGAGCAAGTACATCAATTTATAAAAATATAGTTATATACACATTACACCCACCTTGTGATTTTTCTATCTTTTTTTATTGTGCACATTTTTTTAGTTTTTTCATTCATCCTAGCTAGCTAGTGTATAGTTTTGAAGCATAGTGCATATTCAAGATGAGCAAGTAAGTCTATCATGTATAATTTTAAAAATTGCTAGCTATTGATCTGTTAACTTCAATGGAAATTTTTTCTAAGAAAAAAATTTCATGTATATATATATATATATATATGATATTTTTTCAGCTGACAAGAAAACGTTTTCTAGCAACGATTTACTTTTCCTGCATTAAGAACTGTATGACATAATCGATCACAAAATGTATATAAAATTAATGAGACATCGAATCCGTTTAATTTTTGTGCAGGTGGTGTTAGAAAATGGCATACTTGAAGTGACATTCTCAAATCCAGGGGGAACAATCACTCGAATTCAATATAATGGAATTGAGAACTTGCTTGAGCTTGATAATCCAGCCTATCCAAAACTCAAGGGAGGGTAAACACTGTTTGCAAATGCTTCTACTTATTATATATATATATGTATGTATGTATGTATGTATGTATGTATGTATGTACGTATGTATGTGTGTGTACTGTACACACGTTCACGCATAGAGATATATATAGTTTAGCATCCTAAAAAACAAAAAATAAAATTGAAAACCCATTTTTTATGGCGCTAAAATATGCACATAAAAACCTCATAGTATATGTTTTTCTGACACTGAAGATTTTTTAAATACATCTGGTATAGGTTTCATTTTTTAAATACATCTGGAATGTTTTGCGACATCAACATATATGTGAGTGAGGGTTGACATGATGTCATTAATATTCATGATGACATCAACCTTACTCACATAAAATTAGCCGGATGTGTCTAAGTGTCAAATTCCCTATCATTATTGTAATGTAGCTAGGTATATAGTTAGATGATTATAGATTAACCACGTTAATTATGATGGAACATGCAGGTTTTCTGACCTTAATTGGAGCAAAGTGGGAAGCTCGGGGACACGTGGAAAATTCGACACGTATGTCCTCCTAAGATCACTTTTCTCTATCTAAAATAGCAAGAATTTTAGAAATTTAAATAATTTTGTACAGTGATTTTTTTTTTTTTTTAAAGTTAAATTTGAAATGCTAGTATAATAACATATAAATAATGCCATTTTCCAGTAACAAGATTCAATAATCAAATATGCAGGATTGAAGGATCAAGTTTTAAGGTTATTGTGGAAAATGAGGAAAAAGTAGAGCTCTCATTTACAAGGACTTGGGACCCTTCTCTACAGGATGAGCATGCCCCCTTAAATATAGACAAAAGGTCCTTTTATATTTTATATTTTTCTTTTTTGAGAATGTTTGAAAATTTGTCCACGTACTTGTTACATGAAAACTGTACACATCGTTGGATGATATGGGTGTCATGATAATGGTGATGTAGGTTCATAATGTTTCATGGTTCCTCGGGCTTCTATTACTACTGCATTTACGAACACTTAGAGGACATGCCTGCTTTCAACCTCAACGAAACTAGGATCGTGTTCATGCTCAAAATAGACAAGTAAACAAATTTTCTTTATCGTTTTCTACTGTGAGATTATGTTGTCCATGCTGAAAATGGAGAACTACCGAAAAAAAAAAATTAAACTAGAACTAGTTTAAACTTGAAAGATTAAAAAGCTTTACAGGAAACATCTGATAATGAAAAGCTATTAATTCAGCTAATTAATTACATTGACATGCATGCTTAAATGGAAAATAGAAATATTCTAAAATGGCATACTTTGAGCTGTGTGCGCTAGGTTTCATTACATGGCAATAGCAGATAATAGGCAAAGATTCATGCCCCTACCAGATGACCGGTTACCAGGAAGAGGTGAAGAACTAGCCTACCCTGAAGCAGTCCTACTTGTCAACCCTGTTGAGCCAGAATTTAAAGGAGAGGTAAGGCCATTCCTTGCAATTATTAATTTTATCATTTCATGTTCTTGAAAAGAAATATCATGCCCAAAATAGATTGTATAGCTCCAGTCATGAAATCAGTTCTTCAAAACCAATTCAGAAAACCTTGAAACGTTCAACCTTGAGATGTTCTCGCCTATGCAAATCCTTATGTGTGTACTTGATGGAGACAACGGAGACTCTGTTGCTTGTTAGGCATGGAAACTCTCTAAGAAAACTGTAGGAATAAATTTAGAGAGTTACTTCCATCAAGCAAATCTCAAACTTATTCAGATCAGTATCGGTTATTAAAACCGCTTTATTAACTTTTCAAAACCACCCTTGCATATATTTCTGTGACTTACTTTAAATATATATATATATATAAGTGAAAGCATATATGATGCACGCACATGAACACCTTATTCTGATGTGCAGGTAGATGACAAGTACCAATACTCATGTGAGAACAAAGATAATAGGGTTCACGGGTGGATATGCTTTGACCCGCCCGTGGGGTTCTGGCAAATCACACCTAGCAATGAGTTCAAGACTGGGGGTCCACTCAAACAGGATCTAACATCCCATGTTAATCCAACAGCCCTTAATGTATGCTCCTATATGACAACAACCTCTGTATCAACAATATTTTTCTAAATTAGTATGAAGTTATGATGATGGTAATTTTAGTTAGGTTTAATGTAAACCAAATTGGTGCCATTAGATGTTTGTCAGTGCCCATTATGCTGGAGAGGACCATGTTGTGAAATTTGAAGCAGGGGAGCCATGGAAGAAAGTTTGTGGCCCGGTTTTTGTCTATCTGAATTCAGTGTTGGATAATAATGACGCGGACAAGCTCTGGTATGACGCGAAAGAACAGGTTTGACATAGAAAAAACTGCATTTTTATTTCTGCAGACTAGATAATTAACCATGCATATATGACTATATATACTAACATATATGTGCAGATGAAGAATGAAGTCCAATGCTGGCCATATAGTTTCCCTGAGTCGAAGGATTTTCCAACTTCTGATCAGAGGGGTACTGTTAATGGTAGACTGCTAGTCCAAGACAGGTATAGACTATAGTAGGTGATTACTATTTCTTATCGTCCTCAGCTTACCTTGATGATCTTATAAATGTTGTCACAGGTGATGAAATAGCCAAAAAAAATGTAAAATTTTCAACCATGAGCCAAATTCACTAATGCCCCCTCATGTGTGGCCTTTTTATGGTCCAACACGTGCTTCAATTTTAATTATAAGGGTGACGGTGAATTTTGAACTTGAGTATGACCTTAATTGCTTGCTCTGATACTACGTTAGCAATCATCTGCTCTTAAAACTTCGGCCGTGAAAGATGGTGTAACTTTAATATTTAAATCCTCTCATAATCTTATATCGGCTTTTCCAAATATATATAGGTTTGAGTAATCAAATTTTTGTAATCAAACCTGATTAGGTACATCAGTGAGGACTTTATATCAGCAAATGGTGGCTATGTTGGGTTGGCTCTACCAGGAGATAGTGGATCATGGCAAAGAGAAGTCAAGGTGATCATTTGAAATATGACTTCTTATCATACAATGTTATGCCAATATTGCACCAAAATAAAGGCAACCTTTTTTTTCTTGGCCAATTTAGGTCACCTCTTAACCCATTATTTAGGTAGTTATATATATATATATATATATATATATATATATATATATCTTATATGGTATTCTTAGCAGGGCTATCAGTTCTGGACCACGGCAGATGAAGGCGGCTATTTTACCATTAAGAATATACGTGCAGGCGACTATAATCTTTATGCTTGGGTTTCTGGTTTTATTGGAGATTATCGACATGATGTTGCCATTACCATTACCTCAGGTCATGCACATGTATTTACATTAATTATATTTTTGAGGTTATTATATTGGATGTAACATTTTGTCCTTCAAATCACCTGCATATTTACTCATAGTGAGGAGAATGTTCTATAAGCAGGTTGTGATATTGATATTGGCAATCTTGTGTATAAGCCTCCAAGAGATGGACCTACATTGTGGGAAATAGGCATCCCTGATCGATCCGCGGCAGAATTCTACGTACCTGATCCTAATCCCAAATATATCAACAAACTTTATGTCAATCACCCAGATAGGTTAGCTTTTCTTACCACAATTAATTTGGTGAGAGAGTAGGACGACCAAGAATATCATATAATTACACAAAGTGTCCACAAGTTCCTGCTTTATATTTCGAGACAAGAATATCCTATATGAGCTCATTTCTTGGTGGGTGTTTTGCTTCTATGATTTAATTTTCACGTTAACAACTAACTACTCTAAAAACTTGTTTATGTAGTCAATCTTCGTAATTGAGATTGTTGAAGTTGAAGTTCAAATTATCTTGTTGAATTGGCAGGTTTAGACAATATGGATTGTGGGAAAGATATGCAGATTTGTATCCTGATGGAGATTTAGTTTACACTGTCGGTGTTAGTGACTATCAGAAAGACTGGTTCTTTGCTCAGGTAACCAGGTGCGAGTTTCCAACAATATTATATATTTTTATCCCGGCAAAGTAGGGGAGGGGGGAGTCAAACACAGACACGCCCGATCAGGGAACTAGGCGCTCTACCAACTAGGTCACTGGGTAACGTCCGGATATTTAATATTTTCAATCTTTGGTAATAAAGTCCTATTCCAGAACTGTTGGTAAAACCTGTAAGCATATACTTCATGCTATTTGGAATTCATAAAAAGATCAATTGTCAATTGGTGCTGGCTTTTTCTGTCTCTGCCTTCTTTTGTTCAGATTTCATACGAGTAAAATTGTATTGGACTCGCTTGGATGTTGATGCTCAATACCAATAGTTAGCTACTAGTTGTTCCAATCATCAAACTAGAATTTATAGTTGAATATCATCTACAATGTAATACAAGTCGAGTCGGCTGAGTTTCAGACTCTCTGAAATGTATTAATCTTATGGTGCAGGAAAGTAGGTGATAACACATACCTAGGAACTACATGGCAAATAAAGTTCGACAATGACAACTTGTATCAAACTGGAACTTACAAACTGCGCGTGGCACTTGCATCTGCAAATGATTCCGAATTACAGGTACGACTTAATATAAAGTCCACGCAATATGTATCCCCTTTCTCCGCATTTCCTTTAGATTTCATCCCAATTCTTTGAACTAAATTTCTTTCAATTCCAACTTTAATGTGCACTTGAGAATATTATTCTTTTTTTCTATTTATTTCTTCTTCTTTTTTGAAATTAAGGTTCGAATTAATGATCCGGGAGCTGAGCCTCCTCAATTTTCAAGTGGAGTGATTGGGAAGGATAATGCCATCGCAAGACATGGTATTCATGGGCTGTATTGGCTGTTCAATGTGGAAATACCAAGCACTCAACTCCTCCAAGGCCAAAACACTATATATCTAACACAAGCAAGCAACACTAGCCCTTTCCAAGGGCTCATGTATGATTATATTCGTTTGGAAGCTCCTCCATCTACTAACTAATGCTGTGTCTGTATAATATCAGTAACAATGAATGCTATATATCATGATTTGTGTGTGTGAGAGAGAGAGAGATCTCCTGATTCTCTTCCTCATATCATGATTTGTGTGTGTATGTGTGAAAGAGATCCAGATTCCTCTCATCTTGTGAATATCATGATTTGTGTGTTTGTGTGAAAGAGATCCAGATTCCTCTCATCTTGTGAATGCAAGTGCAACATTATTGATTTAAATTAAAAAACCATTAACACTTTTATGTAGTAGTTGTTTCTCTCTCCTCTTGCCTTCTATCGTAACTAATTTTTCTCTTCTTATCGCCTAATTATAAGTCTCGTTACAAGTGTTCAAACTATATAAGTTTACTTTGTCGTCTTTGTCAGTTTTTCTTATACTTTCATTAGACCTAATATTTTCTAAACACTTTTATGTAATTGTTACGTTATTGATTTAAATTATCCCATTAACACTTTTATGTAGTTGTTTCTCTCCACCTCTTGCCTTCTATTGTAACTAATTTTTCTCTTCTTATCGCCGCAATTATATGTCTTGTTACAAGTGTTCAAACTACATAAGTTTACTTTATCGTCACAGTCAATTTTTCTCTTACACTTTCATTAGACCTAATCTTTTTTAGACACTGCAACAATATAAACGCATTTATTTTCTCACATAGGTGTCGCTTTTCATAGTTAATTTTTTAGAAACATTAAAAACAGATTTTGTAAGACAAAATTACCCTTTTATATTATTTTCCTTTCTTTCCTCTGTTCATTATTTTTATTATTCCAAAATTTTTATTATTTTTTTTCTTCTTCTTCTTCCTCGTCTCCATGGATGATGGATGCTGGTAGAGTACCCATAATCCCACTTTTTCTCTATGTTTATGGAACCATTAAAAAATATTTTTTAAATATGTTTCTTTATGTTTATGAAAACATAACAAATATATTTTTAATATGTTCTTTATGTTAATGGAAAGATTAAAGATATATTTTTAAAAGACAAAAAAAAAAAAAAAAAAAATCCTCTTTTAGGATGTATATATATGTATGAGTATGATTTGTTTGTACACACGTGTATGATATGAAAAAAGGAAAGAAAGGAAAATAATATAAAAATAATAATTTTATTTGGCAAAATTTATTTTTAATGTTTTCAAAAATGGGATTTCCCTATTAATTATATTCCTTAATTATAACTACTGTGATTGGAGCCGAGTACTGAAGGACATGCACTTCTCTTTTACTAATATGTATGTATGTATTATGCACACAAGCACTCCATTACATTTCACTTATTATAAAATAAATCTTAATAATATGTATGTATTAATTATATTCCTTAATTATAACTACTGTGATTGCAGCGGGGTACTGATGGACATGCACTTATCTTTTACTAATGTGTATGTATGTATTATGCACACAAGCACTCCATTACATTTCACTTATTGTAAAGTAAATGACTGTAAAGTAAATGACAGAATCAACCTTGAAGGTGAAGTTTAATCTACCTTTACAAAAAAAATTGCAAAGCGTGGAGTTTTTTCTTTTTTTTTTTTTTTTTTTTTTTTTAAAAAACCTTGGGCCTAATTTCAATGACACTTTTAAAGTTTGTACAAATTTTACAATGAAAAAATATTAAGAAAATTATTATTATTACTGGAGGACCTTGTTAGAGGCCCAATCTAGCGAGAAGGTGGGCATTGCCCACTGCAGTCGGCTCGCAGTAATCAAGCGGGCCCACTTGATCGCAAAATAAAATAAAATAAATTTTTCATGTTGTCATTGTTAAGTCATATAAAACGAAACAAAAGGGATTTCAAAAGCAAAAGCATGGGAGTTACAAAAAGCGTGACAACAATACCTGTTAAAAATAATTGTGTCACTTAGCTTCTGGTCTATTACGTTTGGTATAAAATATATATATATATATATAGACACACACATATACATATAATTAAAAAAATATTACTTTTAGAGGGTGAAAATCTAAAGAGGGCTAAAATTTGGAAAGCACAAGTTGGCTGGCTCTTGAAAAAGCTAAGCACGTGACTTAAGGTACCTTTTGTCACTTGACCGTGAAATGATCTTTGTACTCTATTTGTTGACGACTTTTAAATCCATAATAAATTATAGAAGGACGAATTTGCCGACAGTTGCGATCAAGCTTAATTTGTCGCTCTTCAATGGCTTCACAAAGCTAGATCACTGGTGCATCTAGCCCAAGACACAACTATAACGGACACCAACCGCTGCCTTGTCGGAACAATCGTTATCGGTGACCCACCATCGAGCCCCAAGCCACAACCATGGTGAACACCAACCGTTGCCGCGTCGGAGTTGCGTCACGGTCACCGTCTCTCCGCTCACGGCCATTCCAGCTTCCTCATAGCGTCATGATTGCCGATCGTCTTAAGCATTCTCCGGAGATTTATCGTCAGAAGACGAACAAGGGTTCTGCAACAGTGGGTTTGTGACGACAGGGTATGGGTTGATGGTGATCGACGATGATGGGTTTTTGGATTTGCGATTGGGTCTTGGATTATTGTATGGGTCTTGCGCTCGGTTCTGTTGGTGGTGTTACAGGGTATGGGGCTGATGATGGCCTTGCCTTGGCTTGGTGGTGGATTAACTATCTTGGGTTCTGGTTCTGTTGCTGGTCTTGGCTTGCTGGTGGATCAATGATGATGGGGTTTTAGGGTTTGATCGTCTTGGGTTGGTGTTACGGTTTGTGCGGGCATGTACTCCCCCTACGTCCACTACATGCTCGACGAATTTACGTAGAGACTTGGTGTTGAACTCACTTCCAGGTCTCGCCGTCGGCGTTGTAGATGCCGTGAAAGTCCGACAGAGTGCTTTCTCTTCTCTTGATCTCAGTTGTTGGGTCGGAAGTGTATAACTGAGAAGCTCACTAGCTCTTCACCGGACTGAAACTGTGGCTCACACGGGTCGTCTGAAACTGTGGCTCGCCGGACTAGCTGAAACTTTCTGGGCTTCCACTGGACTGAACTGGAACTAAAGCGCATCAATTGGGTCTTTGTGATGGAGCTCAGTAACGGTTGTGAACTTTGTTGGGTCACCATAGGACCCAGTTATGAAAAGTAAAAAAATATCAGAATATACTGGTTTAATTTCTTCTTTACACCGCAACTCTTGCACTTAAAAAAAAATCACCAAGACAGAGGTGACTTTGAAGTAAAGAGATGTAATGAAGAGAAGCAAGAAAAAAAGATGTTTTTTGTGTCTGGTTGAAGAAACCAAGTCATAATAAATGGAGTAACCAATATTACGACTAGCTCCAAAGTCCTACTCTCTCTGTCTCCATTACATAGTCGTAAAAGGTAACATGATTTCTCTCCTCCAAATCAGGAAATGTAACTAAGAAAGTTCTTTTACTCATTTTCTTAGCATGCACGAAGTTATCTTTCTTGTTTGTTGTTTCATAATTATTATTATTATTATTATTTTGAAATTTTAAGCAAACGCACGCACTTGTAATATTGCCTCTAACAGGGCTCCTCTCAAGGTCCCCTTTGAAACGGAGAGATTATTCCGTCTGGAGTTTGGACTAATGCTCATTGATGGTGTTGTTTTTTAATTTGCATTTACTATACTATATTAAGGTGTTCGATCTTGATGATCCATTTATTGTTGCTTAATTAATCAATTATATTTGCAATCTACATGCAGATTCTTATTTTCCGGAATAAATTGCAAGCAATATAAGCTAAGGAGGCCTTGGATTGATGTCTAACAAAGGGGTGCAACTGCATATTCAAGATAAGCAAGTAAATCTATTTTATAGATTTTTCATTCATCCTAGCTAGTGTGTAGTTTTGAAGGATACTGCATATTCAAGATGGGGAATGGATCCTCTCCAAGCATTTCTCTCTACAAGCATATATCTAACAAATGGAAAAACAGCACATCACTATCTTGATTGTATGATTAAATTACTATTGATATGTTAACTTCAATGGAAACTATTTCAGAAAAAAATTTCCAAAGAAAAATGATATTTTTTCAGCTAACATGAAAATATTTTCTTGTATTAAGAACTGTATGAGATTTTCGATTATAAAAATGTATATAATGAATGAGACATCCATTGAATTTGCCTGTGCAGGTGGTGTTAGATAATGGCATACTTCAAGCCACATTCTCAAATCCAGGGGGAACAATCACTGGAATTCAATACAATGGAATTGACAACTTGCTTGAGTTTCATAATTCAGAACCCAATGGAGGAGGGTAAACACCGTTTGCAATTACTTCTGTTTATTATATACATATCTATCATATATGTACACTAGTTCACACACATTGAGATATATTATATATTAGCATTTTTTTTGTAATATTATTCTTGCTAGTGTCAAAACAAGAAGTATTAGCCTTTTGTTTTCGGTAAGTAAGATATATTCAAAACAAGGTACAAAAAAAGAAGAAGAACATCATCTACACAATTAAAAAGACAGTAAAGTTTAGCATCAAAAAAAAAAAAAAAATTTAAAAACCAATTTCTTTTACAATGCCAAAATAGGGGTACACGCACACAAAAAAAACCCCTCATACATAAATTTTTTTACACTGAAAATTTATTCAGCAAAGGAAATCTGGTATGGGATTCATTTTCTTTATAGGTCATGTATGGAATGTTTTGCAAGGTTAACAAGTTAATTCAACATGCAGGTATTCGACCCTCAATTGGAGCAAAGTGGGAAGGTCGGGGACAAGTGGAAAATTCGATGCGTATGTCCTCCTCAGCTCACTTTTCTCTATCTAAAATAACTTGAATTTTTAAATATGTAATAATCTTGTAAAGTGAATTTTATATAAGAATCCTGCCCCTTGTGTCCATGCAATTAGTAAATTGTAATAATCTTATATATTCAAAAATCACCCGAAAAAGTTCTGTAGAAAAATTGAATTGCATGAATTAAATAATAGAAAATTGAACAATATTGGGTCAGGATTATCTGTTTTTATATATTAGTAAATTGTAATAATCTTATATATTCAAAAATCACCTGAAAAAGTTCTGTAGAAAAATTGAATTGCATGAATTAAATAATAGAAAATTGAACAATATTGGGTCAGGATTATCTGTTTTTATATATATATATAAAAACAGATAATCCTGACCCAATATTGTTCAATTTTCTATTATTTAATTCATGCAATTCAATTTTTCTACAGAACTTTTTCAGGTGATTTTTGAAATGCCACTGTGATAGTACATAAATAATGCCATTTTTCACTCAAGTAAATAGCCCCAGTAACAAGGTTTAATGATCATATATGCAGGATCAAAGGAACAAGTTTTAAGGTTGTAGTAGAAAATGAGGAAAAAGTAGAGCTCTCATTTGCAAGGACATGGTACCCTTCTCTCCAGCATGAGCATGCCCCCTTAAATATAGACAAAAGGTCTTTACTTAAATCCCTTATATGCAGTTATTTTTAAAAGAGTACCCAAATGGTTCATTGGATAAAATGGGTCTCAGAGTAAAAATTTATGAGTCAGTCCTATACCGTCTCCACACAACATATGATCATTTCACTCTTAGAATTTCAATCCTTTTATTGATTGAGAATAATGATGATCATGTAGGTTCATAATGCTTCGTGGTTCCTCGGGCTTTTATTACTACAGCATTTACGAACACTTAGAGGACATGCCTGCTTTCAACCTCGATGAAACCAGGATCGTGTTCAGGCTCAAAATAGACAAGTAAACAAATTCTAAAGAATTATACTTTTGCTAAGTACATTGACTTTCATGCTCAAATGAAAAAAATAATAAGAATAAAAAAAAAAAAAAAGAATAATAATAAAATGGTGTACTTTGATGAGCTACCAGGTTTCGGTACATGGCAATAGCAGATAATAGACAAAGATGCATGCCCCTACCAGATGACCGATTACCAGGAAGAGGTGAAGAACTAGCCTTCCCTGAAGCAGTCCTACTTGTTAACCCCATTGAGCCAGAATTTAAAGGAGAGGTAAAGCCTTACCTTGCAATTCTTGATTTTATCATTTCATGTTATCGTTTATAGAATACCTTATAACCACCAAGGTGTGTGGCTTATTGGTATCTCATTTTCTTTCAAAGTGAAAGCTAAAAAGTTACAACAGATTGTCGCTGGATTGGTCAATTATCCGTCTTGTTATAACGGTCACATTTTAGCTGAACTCAATTGTTCGAGCCTTTAGGGTACATATTACCCTTATGTACCTTATATATACAAATTGCTTGAATTTTCAAAAAAATTCTAAAAGTTTTGGGTTTCCCAGAAACATTGTGGGAGTTCTTTGCGAGAAAAGAAAAGAAAATAAAATTAGAGAACACATTATGCCGTGATTTACTAAAACGAAAAAGAAAAGGAGAAAAACGGCAAAGAAATTGTTGAGATAAAGTATATAATGCATATTTGACTGCAAACTGTTATGTACATTGTGTTGCAACAATGGGGTTTTGATATGTCTCCTGAAGTGCAGGTAGATGACAAGTACCAGTACTCATGTGAGAACAAAGATAACCGGGTTCACGGGTGGATATGCTTTGACCCGCCCGTGGGATTCTGGCAAATCACAGCCAGCAATGAGTTCAAGACTGCAGGTCCACTCAAACAGGATCTAACATCCCATGTTAATCCAACAGCCCTTGCTGTATGTAACTATATAATAACAACCTCTGTATCGGCAAATTTTTTTCCCCCTTATATTCTTATTCATTAACGATCACAATAGTATCAACAGTTATGATGATGATCATTTTAGTTAAGTTTAATTAACACAAACTGAATTGGTGTGTCATTAGATGTTTGTAAGTGCCCATTATGGGGGAGAGGATCATGTGTTGAAATTCAAATCAGGCGAACCATGGAAGAAAGTTTTTGGCCCGGTTTTCATCTATCTTAATTCAGTGTTGGATGATAATGACACATTTAAGCTCTGGAACGACGCCAAAGAACAGGTTTGACATAGAAAAAGTGCTTGTTAATTACTCCAAACTAGATAACCATGCACCACTGTGTATATACTAACATAGATATTGATATGCAGATGAAGAATGAAGTCCGCTGCTGGCCATATAGTTTCCCCGAGTCGAAGGATTTTCCAACTTCTGATCAGAGGGGTACTGTTAATGGTAGATTGCTAGTCCAAGACAGGTATAGTAGGTGCTTATTTCTTATTTTCCTTGGCTCACTATTTGCTAGTCCAAGACAGGTATAGTAGGTGCTTATTTCTTATTTTCGTTGGCTCACCTTGATCAATTTCTCTCATTTGAACTCTTGGGCTTGATATGCTACATTAAAAAAGAGGGGAACGTCTTACTTCTTAAATTTGTTGATGCAAACACAATATCCTTTTCAACTCCAATCTTTAATGTAAATGTTGTCAGGTCAAGAAATTACCCAAAAAAAAATGTAAAATTAATCAACTAGAGTCAAATTCACTAATGCCCCGCCACACGTGGCCTTCATTTGGTCCAACACATGTTTTAATTTTAATTATCAGAGTGACGGTGAATTTTGAACTCCTGACCTTATCTGATCTGATACGTTGTTAACCATTATCTACTCCTAGACTTTAATATTTAAACCCGCTAACGATCTTATATTGTCTTTTCGAAATATATATAGGTTTGACGTTTGAGTAATCAAAATTTTGTAATCACACCTGATTAGGTACATCAGTGAGAACTTTATCTCAGCAAATGGTGCCTATGTGGGGTTGGCTCCACCAGGAGACATCGGATCATGGCAAAGAGAAGGCAAGGTGATCCATTTGAATTTCTTCTTGTTGTCATCATACAATGTTATGCCATTAGTGCACCAAAATAAGGGCTTTCTTGGCCAATTTAGGTCACCTCTTAATACACCATTTAGGTAGTTATATATGTTATATGGCAATATTCTTAGCAGGGCTATCAATTCTGGACCACAGCTGATGAAGAAGGCTATTTTACAATCAAGAATATACGTGTAGGCGACTATAATCTTTACGCTTGGGTTCCTGGTTTTATTGGAGATTATCGATATGATGTTGCCATTACCATTACCTCAGGTCATGCATATGTATTTACATTAATTAGATTTTCGAGGTTCTTATATTGGATGTATCATTTTGTCCTTCAAATCACCTGCATATTTACTCATAATGAAAAGAATGTGAAGCAGGTTGTGATATTGATATTGGCCATCTTATGTATGAGCCTCCAAGAGATGGACCTACATTGTGGGAAATAGGCATCCCTGATCGATCCGCAGCAGAATTCTACATACCTGATCCTAATCCCAAATATATCAACAAACTTTATGTCAATCACCCAGATAGGTTAGCCTTTCTTACTACGATTTGGTGACAGATTAGGATGACCAAAATCATTCAATTACACTGATGATGCCATGTTTGGCAGCGCCGTATCGGCACCTTAGATTTGGGATTGGAGAAAATTTAATTCAAAATTTGAACTAAACTTCCTCCAGTCCCAAATCCAAGGCACCGATTGGGAAAAGACTTTTGTTATGTTTGGGAGCACCGAATCAGTGCCTTGGATTTGGAATTGAAGAAAGTTTAGTTCAAATTTTATACTAAATTTTCTTCAATCCCAAATTCAAAACACGAGTTCGGTGCCGCCAAACATAACATTTATTGAGTTGAGATGTCTTTAGTAGTACTATATATTTGACATTGACAGATAATCTACAAGCTAACGTATTATGGCGTGTCCAACTTCAGTGCTCCCTAACATATATAATATAGAAGTACAATGTGCTTTTTTTTTTTAGCTTCTATGATTTAATTTTCTATGTTTTAGATTTGGAACTTTTATTGAGACGGGTTTTACCAACTGCTCTGAAAGCTTAAATTGTTAGAAAGACATATAAATAAACTCCGTGATGTTTAGTATTTTCCAATATTTATATAGTCAATATTTTTTAATCAAGACTCTACTTAATTATAATTATCTTATGATTGAAGTTGAAGTTTAAATTCTCTCGTTCAAATGGCAGGTTTAGACAATATGGATTGTGGGAAAGATATGCAGATTTGTATCCTGAAGGGGATTTAGTTTACACAGTGGGTGTTAGTGACTATAAAAAAGATTGGTTCTTTGCTCATGTAACCAGGTGCGAGTTTCTAACAATATTGGCCTCTTTTCTTTAAAGCTTGTGGCTTATTTAAACATTTCAACCTTTGGTAAATTCAAATTTAGAACTTTTTGTTTGGGTAAACATTTATTTCATGCTATTTAGAATTCATAAAGATCAATTGAACTTCTCAACTTCCACAAGCATACAAGTAAAATGCTGGTTCAAATAATTGGACTAGCTTGGATCTCGGTGCTTTTTAGTACTTATTATAGTTAGCTACTGGTTGTTTCAATCAACTCATTAGAATTTATAGTTAAATATCCATCAGTTTTATAAAAATTCGATACAAGTCGAGTCAGAGTAAACCGAGTCTCTCACAGGGCCGGCTTGAGCCTTAGGCCACTTAGCCGGTCACCTAATACCCAATTTTAATTCATGTAATAATAATTTGTATATATATATATTTTTAATCCTTGAAAAATTGGTATTGAAAAGTGAAGAAACATTTGTTGTATCAAAGGTCATCTAGCCCAATAGTATAACCTCCTCATCCTCAGAGAGAAGTGGAGGGGTTTGAGCCTGGGTGTGGGCAAAAAGTGTATTAAGTGTTTCTTGCATCGAGGTTTTTTTTTTTTTTCACTTTTCTAAATTTCCTATTAAACTCGAATACAAAATTTTAAATTAATTTTTATATTTTATGTTTAAGAATCTTTTATATTTTTCGCTTAAAGCCTCAAATTGAACCGGCCCTCCTTCCTCTTAAGGACATGGTGTCACTCCGCTAACCGGATTTCACAATCATGTGTGAGAGATTAGACTTGTGCTTATTTGGTTTGAGAATTTTTGTTTTTCCTTTCCTTTTTCAATGTTATATCTTGTGGTGTAGGAAAGTTGGTGATGGCACATACGATGGAACTACATGGCAAATAAAGTTCAACAATGACAACGCGTATCAAAGTGGAATCCACAAACTGCGCGTGGCACTTGCTTCTGCAAACGTTGCCCAATTACTGGTATGAATTGACATAGAGTTGTGCTAAATACAATCGGAACTGAATCTTATGGGTCTTACAACGGACCCGTAAATCTAAAGACTGAGATTTTGGTAACAACTACGCATGGAAGCCCACAAAATTTATAGGCTGAAATTGTACAGTCGCGACTGCACTTAACATTTTCCATTGATATAAAAGCCACCCAATATGTAACCACTCGTTACTGGTATGAATTGATATAGAGTTGTGCCAAGTACAAACGTGGCTCTACAAGTTCAGTCCTTGAATATTATGGGACTTGGGGAAAAAAAATCTTATGAACTGGAATTGCACAGTCACGACTGCACTTAACATTTTTCATTAATATATAAGGTCATTAATTTAGATCCTATTTAGCAAGTACATTGACACAATTATTATTATTATTAATTTTTTTTTTTTTTTTTGGTGGAAATTAAGGTTAGGATTAATGATCCAAAAGCAGAGCCTCCAGAATTTTCAAGTGGATTGATTGGGAAGGATAATGCAATAGCAAGACACGGTATTCATGGGCTGTATTGGCTGTTCAATGTGGACATACCAAGCACTCGACTCCTTCAAGGCCAAAATACCATATATCTAACACAAGCAAGCAACACTAGCCCTTTCCAAGGGCTCATGTATGATTATATCCGTTTGGAAGCCCCTCCATCTACTAATTAACTAATGTTTTATGCTTGTAGAGGACCCTTCCCTTCTAGTATTCTGATTAACAATGCTATAAGCCTAAATCTGTATGATAACAATAATGGTAAATGCTAAATATCATGATTTGTGTGCGCCCGCTAAATATAATGATTTGAGTGTGTGAAAGTAGAAATGGCAATTTGCCCGGGACGGGTACCCGCCCCCACCCTGCCCTCCTCCCCGATTTATAGGCGGTGATAATTTTTAGTACCGATTTATAGGCGGTGATGATTTTTATTAATAAAAATTTATATGAATTTAGGATGGGGTGGATGAAGATCATCTGGTTGAATTTAGGATGGGGTGGATGAAGATCATCTGGTCCTTTTTCTTTTGTATAGGTAAATTATTCTTAAATCATTAGTATATATAGTTAATTTTAAAATTCTTAAATTGCATTCATTGACTTTCTCAACTATTTTAAAGAGCAACAGAATCTGCAAACTAAGAACATTTATACTGAATTTTATTTTAAATTATTAATTGTTCATTTTTAATAAGTTTTTAATATTTTTTTTAATAATTATATAATTGTATTTGAGAAAATAAAAAATAAAAAATAAAAAAATAAAAAATTATAGAACAAAATGGGGCCGGGATGGTAGCCGCATGGTTTAAAACGGGGAGTTAAAACAGGACTCTCCCTGTTCCAAAACTTGGGCGGAGATTTCTAAACATTTGTGGGAGGGTGTACACCGCCCCCATTGCCCACCGTATGCGTGTGAGAGAAACTTCTCAAATGATGACAACGATTTCTCCTCTTCAAGATGAGGAGTCTAATCAATTTAAATAGATGTAATGGTATGATACAAATATCACAACTAGATTAACCATTTGACTTCTCTATCACCGGAGTGGATAATATTTAACTATAAATATCACTATTAAATTATTGTACTATCATTTGGAGAGAGGAAAAAAGCAAAAACAAAACAAAACAAAAAAGTTAAGTTCCCAATCCATATTGATTGATACTGCCATCGAATCATCAAAGCGACTTTTCTGTTTTTTTTTTTTTTCTGATAACTAAAGGAAGCTTTTTGGGTCCAAGCAAAAATTAATATACATATCACACAAATATCATATATCCGAATAATTCCTTAAAAAGGCCCTAAAATTAGATTGTACAAAAATTACAAAAAAATAAAATAAAATAAAAATAATTTTATTATTATTTTTTTCTATTTTGTAATTAATTGGATTTATCAATCCTCTTCTTGGCATCCTCAGCAGCATCAACAGCTTCAACCTGCATTTTTGCAGTCTGTAGGTCAGCTTCAGTTGCTTCTTTCTCGTTTCTTGCAGTCATCTTCTTCGCCTGCATGCTTCCGTTATTATATATATGTATATGTATATATAGAGAGAAAGAGAGGAGGAGAGGGCTTACCTGACCGGTTAAAGTGGCCTTAAAATAGCGGAAACCTTCTTGTATGGAAACCGTAAAAGAGAAGCAGTCTTTCTTGATACGAGACAACGCTGACATTTCTTGATTCCTGTTTGTGGATGCTGATGATGAAGCTCTGCCCTCTTCCATTACCAAAAACCTTCTACTTTCTCTCTCTCTAAAACTCTCGATCTCAAGCGTTTAGGGTTAGGAAAACAGAAAATTGAAAAAGGGTGCGTTTGGGTTTCTTCTTTTATTGGTAGCAAAAGTGGTCAGTCCACGTCTAATACAGCTTTGCTCTACGGGCTCAAACAAAAAAGCAACCAACCATGATTGGGCTTGAGCCTGTTTGCTCTTTAACTAAACACAAAACTAATGAAAAAGCCCAAACTAAATTGGGCCCAATACAATCAACACCCAAAGCGCAACGTTGCTTGCTGAAGAGCTGCCACGTAGAGCAAAGCTGTATAGACGTGGACATCAGTGACGGCTTTGCTACAAATAAAAAAGAAGAAACCCAAACACACCCTTTTAAATTAGTCAGAAAAAGGTATGTCTGACTAATTGAATTTTTAAAGTACTGTTTGAGCTTCACTTGGTGCAATTATCACAGAAATTGCAGCCAGACTCCCCCCCAAACACACACACACGCGATCTCTCTACTGAACACAGGCATACACACTTGATTTGAGTCGATTTGATTTGATTTTGATTTTTTTCTTTCATTAATGTGGTTCTTTTTAGGCTTGAGTTAGGAAAGTAGTCGGTTTTTACTAATTTTCATTTTTAGTGTGGACAGCCCCCAGTTTATTTTTTCTTTCAGTAAGACTAGGCATATCGACCCATGTAAAGCATTTGCAAGGGTTACAAGAACTACAAAACCATTGCCTACTACTCAAAGGTTCATTTCCAGTAGCAGATTCAACAGATGACAAGAAGTCAGTGTCAAGGAGAGTTTGGCATAACTTACGGCTCAAAAGTTCATTTCCAGTAGCAGAAGCAGGGTCAAGGAGGGTGATAGCAACATGATATTGGCATTATAGTGGAGGAAAGCTGTAATGACTTAACTCTACCGCATGGTATGATATTATTCGTTTTGGACCTGAGTACGCGTGGTTTTACTCTTGGACTTTACCCCAAAAGGCCTCATACCAATTGGAGTGACACACCTACATATAAGCACTTTACCTTTCCCTTTCCCAGGCGATGTGCGATTGTGCACCCGTAACTCGTCAATGTAGTAGCCTGTCAGTGTCTCGCACCCGCTCACGGCACACCCGTCCATAGGGTCATCACAATCCACCCTCCTTGGAGGCCCGACGTTCCCGTCGGCACACTTCCAGCTAGGTCAGCTCTGATACCATTTGTAACGACCCACTCCACCACATGGTATGATATCAATTGTAATGACCTTGTGGGCGGGTGCGAGACACTGACAGACTACCACATTGGCGAGCTACGAGTGCACAATCCCACATAAATGTGAAGTGCTTATATATAGGTGTCACTCCAATTGGTATGAGGCCTTTTGGAGTAAAGCCGAAGAGCAAAACCGTGCGAGCTTAGGCCCAAAGCAGAAAAATATCATACCATGTGATGGAGTGGGTCGTTACAAATGGTATTAGAGCCTAATCCAGTCGGAAGTGTGCTGTTGGGGACGTCGGGCCTCCAAGGGGGGTGAATTGTGATGACCCTGTAGGCGGATGTGCCGTGGGTGAGTGCGAGACACTGACAGGTTACCACACTGACAAGTTACGAGTGCACAATCCCACATAAAAGTGAAGTGCTTATATGTAGGTAATATCATATCATGTGGTGGAATGGATCGTTACAAAAACAGTTATAAATCCCATCCCCATTAATTCTGAAGTCTTGTATCATACTTTTTTGGTTTTTCGAAAATGTTATTGTACAAAATGCAGAAATGTAGAGTGGCTTTGAGGGATAGAATAAGTGTTGATGAGTGGAGTGTTAGGCCATCGTGGTTAGACCCACCTATGTTGATAGTTTGTAATTCTTTTTCGTTGTTATCTTGGTTCGGTCGTGTGGTTGTGTTTCATTTTTTCTAATATAATGGTTATGATTGACATTATGTAATAAATATGGATGGTTAATGAAATAGAAAATTTATTATAACTTATCAATTTTTTATTGGAAGAATGAAAATTATATACAAGAAGACTAATAATAACTGTACAAACGATTTACAGTTGTAAGAAATCTAAAAGCAGTTTAAAAAGAAAATTCCTAACAAAAAATAAAAAAAATATTTGAATAAGTATTTTTGTTCTGAAAAAAATTTAAAAAATAAGAAAAGAAATAGCAAATGATGTATCGAATCCTGCCATTCTAATCGCTACATACCTTCAAAGCCAAATGAAAGTTAACCTGCATCAAGATAGTTTGATAGTTTTTGCACAACTCAGACACTTTAAAAAGAAATTTGTTGCTTACATCTAGTTGTTTTCTTATTCCTACTTATATGCACTTAGGCGTGCTTTCCAATGGATGGCTATGATGTGCATACATGTCGCATATCCAACTGTTGGGAGAATTCTTTGAGATATTTGCAAAGTTACTATACAAGTGTAGAATATTATGAAGAATGCAACATAAATGACAAATCTATACTACACGAGCGCCAAGAATTTTAAAATGTCCTAGCATACAGACTACTCGTATTATTATCATCTGCCATTTGTACATTGCAAAGAATTCTAGAATGATTTGCCATGCAAACTACTCCTATGGTAGGGTGTGACAAAAGCCAATAATATATCTTACCCATTAGTGGGGTTTATTTATTTATTTATTATGGTGGTTCGAAAGCCGTCAGTTGCACCAAAAGTTTGCAAAGATATGAACTAAGAGTGTGAGTGTGCAATATGGCCAAGTTTTAAATTTGTAAAAGCCACCACTATCTCTAACTAAAAATATAGTTAGGGTGACTAGGGATCTTCCCAAGGAATCGTGGGTACCGACACAATGGAAACAATATATAGGATTAGTAGGTCGAGTGATCAAAGATTGGTTGGATTGATTGATTAAACTATTATACAATTGAAATTAAAGTAAACAAAATTCAATGATTAATAAAGTAGAGAAAGATATAGAGGGAAAGATTTGGGGTACTAGAGCTCACCACTAAGCTTGACTTCACTAGACACTAGCAATTGTATATTAATGGGGAAATCGACTTGTAACTTGTGTGTGTGTGTGTGACATTAATTAAAACTAGGCATGGACGGTAAATAAGCATAGGTTGTCAAGCCAAATTAAATAGAAAGTACAACCTATCAAATGAGACCAAAATTCATTCAATGAAACCACAATTTATGCACACACAACTATCTAGAAACATACACCAAATGCATTCATAAGTATGGAACACCAAGGAACAAGAGTAGATTATCCACCTATCTATGAATTTAAACAACTACACTACATCTACACTAAAGATATGAAATTTAACTAAGTAAGCTAAAGTTGTGGTACAATCTATCAAGAAACAAGTGTGAACCATCAAATAAATTGTAAGAGTGTTCAATTAAGCTCTATGTTTTGACCATCTCTAGATTAACTTCATCCATACACATAGACATGCATAAATTCTACTAAATCTAAAGAAAAGCACATGAATCATCCATTCTAGCATACATAGACATATGGTTAGAAGTAAATAATCAATTGAAAACATTAATCCATACACATCAAGTAAAAACCACAAGATATATATATAAATCTAAGGTCAAAACATTGTTACAAATAAATCCCCAAAAATATACAAAGAACTAAGTCTAGGAAGCAAACTTAGGGGCTACTCTAGCCCCAAGTAGATGTCTAGCCACTCATTGAAGTAGTCATCCAACCCTCAAAGACTATCTCCATGGTAGGAATGACCTCATTCTTGATGGAAACCCTAGAAGAATGGAAGAACTCTCAAGATGTGTAAAGCTCTCTAATCTCTAGCCTCCTCTCCAAGATATGAAAAATACAATTTTATGAATAACAACTATCTACTATATGTATATGCTCTAAAAGTGGCTCTCACTCCTTATATAGGTAGGTCAAATGTCACCCCAATGACCTGGGCTCGTACACCAAGGTCCCTCCAATGATTGCACCATGAGCCAACTTTTAATGAGCTGGAATCTATTTTTTTTTTCGGACTTGAGGAAGTTCGATTGATCGAACTGTATTAAGATTGATCGAACATGGCTGAGATCCATCGAATGCTGTAGAGATCGATCTTCCTTGGCGACGCCTTTTTGAATAAAGACAAATCTCTGAGATATTTTTGGGAAGAAGACAAAAGTGGTAGGTTGGTGGTAGGTGTGGATAAGATCAAATCATTTCGATCGATCTGGGAAATATTGGATCGATCGAACTTGTTGGATTTTTTTGGATAAGGACAAGGGCTTGGATCCATCTTGAATTATTTAGATCGATGAACTTTCGATCGATCAAAGAAATGCTGAGATCGATCGAACATGCTGAATTTCCGCACTTTGCTTCAATTTGCTTCCACTTTGCTTCTTTCTTTCATTCAGCTTGAGTTAACTTCTTTAATGCTCTTATTTGGCCGAATTGACTTATTTTTGGGATAAGCACCTGAAAAGGGCAATAACACGAAATTAGAAGAAAATAGGGAAATAAGATAGATAAAGGTCCTAGAATACCTTAGCTTAAGGGGTTTAAATGCGCACTTTTCAGCGCCCATCACACCCCCAAACTTAAATATTGCTAGTCCCTAGCAATGAACTAAAGGTAAAGGAATGAAATGAACAACTATACAACTATAAACTAGAAAGCAACAAATGGATAACACCACTTTCGTAGGTAACACGATTGCATTTAGCAGATGTAACAAGCCTTTTAAACCCCTAGGTTACCCCTAGTGGACGAGTGAAGTCTCGTGAGGGTTTCCAGAAATGATACCCACAAACATTAAGCTCATTCTTTCAAAAGAGGCACCAATATTGCAAACAAGTACTGGGAGAAAACTACCTTAAGTATGCAATTTTTCAACCATTTCCAAGCAATCTCCCAAAATTTCAACACCAAGTAAGCAAGTATGGTCCTCCACACATCAAGAAAATGATTATGCAAATCAAAACAACTCTAAAATCCTTTTTGAGTAGACCGGCATCAAATATGTTGCTATCTTAGCCAACTAAAAAAATGATCATATCCTTATCCTCAAACTAGCACACAAATCTAGTACCGATCATTAAGATAAAGAGTGAACA